CCTCCTGCAGAACTATCTCACTTTGCTGGATGATGAAGATCACAGACTGGAATACCTTAAAATCCAAGATGAGCAGCATTTAGTAATAGAAGGTATAAAAAGGATAATGTACTATTCTAAAAATAGAGGTTTGCAGAGGGAACCTGTGGGGAGGTGGTGGTAAAGCTAATTTAGGAAAGTTTGCATGTGTTTTGTCCCTATTTTGAAATACATTTGGATCTTTTGTTGGTTTGCAACAACATAAAATAATAATGGTGGCTCATGAACTGATTTGTTCAGAGCTGGTGGATCTTTATTGAGAATAAGAATAAGCACTGAAAAATTTGCTATTCAAGAGCAAAAGCAATCCCAAGGCTGCTTCCTAAAGATGTGACTGGTGTGGTTGGAGGGATGCCAGTGTTAGAATGAGTTCCAATAATGATTAGAAACATTGAAATGAAAACTAGCAAAAATAATAGCTAGAAGTAAGCACATTTCTAATCCCAAATATTAGAAAATTTTAATTAAACCTCTTCAGCTGTGTAAGCTCTCTGGAGTAAGTAACAATTTTTAAAAGCTCCTTTTCATGTCCTTTTCTAGTTCGAAACAAAGACATGAGCTGGCCAGAGGAGATGTCTTTTATAGCAAACAGCAGCAAGATAGACAGACACAAAGGTGAGTCTCTCACAGAGTCACTGGATTATGATGAGAAGAAAAATCCCATAAAACAGCTGAAATGTTGAAACAATCCTTTTAAACACAAGTCCTGTTAACACTGAGTGAAGTCTTGGCCTTTGCATGAACTTAAGTGCTGGAAACGTGGGAGGGTGGGATTTTTTGTTTATTCCCTTGGATTTTGTAAAAGCAAGGAATAATTAAGACTTTAACAAACAAATCCAGAATTTTCAGTACCATAATTACCTGTAAATATTCTGTGTGGGTTGCACTGCTGTCTGTGGTGGATCAGATCAACAAAATACTCAATTTCTGGGAGGCAGAGTTGAGAGAGCAGATATTTTAAACATCTGCTGCATCCATGGAGTGTCATAACTGGGAGCAGGTTCCATTGAACTGCTTACTGTGAGAAGATGCTGCTACAACATTGTGAATTTTCTCATCAGCCCAACTGCTAAAATGATGATTTTTTTGCTCAGTTCCTACTGAGAAGGGAGCTACAGGCCTGAGCAACCTGGGGAACACGTGTTTCATGAACTCCAGCATCCAGTGTGTCAGCAACACACAGCCCCTGACCCGGTACTTCATCTCAGGGAGGCATCTCTACGAGCTGAACAGGTAATCCTGGGCCAGAGCAGTGGAGTTTGGTGCTGAGCATTTATTCAGGGCTGTCTGCTTCTGCAGGCTGCAATTCAGGGGGAAGGAGTTGTGGGATCTCAGCNGGAGTATTTGCAGGGAAATCTGTTGATTCCCATGTTTATGGATGAGTTGAAGGTGAGAAATGAGCACTGCAGAAGCTGAACTGATCAGGAGAGCCAGAGCTGGGCATTCCCATTTGGGAGTGATTGCTGTAGCCATGCAATAGGTGCCTCTGTGCCTCTCTGATAGTGAAGTGGCACAATAAATTCAATTAATGCTCAGACAACTCCTTCTGAGTTACTTGGGCAGCTGGGCTTTGATGCCCAAAATTATTTAATGCTCTTTAGAGAGCGATGAAATGAATGGAATATGAAGGCTTTTGTTTGATGTAGTTCAAAAAGACAATTAAATACAAAGCCTAAACACCCAGCTAAAATCTATTTGTCATAATTGTGCTGGTAATGCTCACCAAAAGATTGTACAAGGGTAATCTTAGGTTGTGGCTTCACATTTCAGCTGAGGTGTTGCAGGAATTGTCTCCAGTCCCCAGTTTGCCTCACACAGAGGCTGGAAGGAATCCCTGCACTCACATTTGGACATCCACAGTAAAGTGTCCAAAAATGGGCTCACCTGACTGCTGAAAACTCAACAGATCCTTCAGCCTTGCCAGAGTCAGGGTGTGGGTAGAACCTGGTGCAAATTCTCAGGTTTTCATTGCTTTGGGAGGGTCTCAGCCCTGCCTGTGCCATCGAGCTGTGCTGCACAAACTGCTCTGCCCAAACTCAGCTTTCCTGCCTGACCTAATCCAATGGAAACTGCTTTGTTTGGACATCCTAAAATGCCCAAATTCCAATGAACAGAATCTTCTCATGTGCCAAATTTGATCTTGATTTGGAATTACTTTGCACTGCACTAATTTGATTTGTCCAATCTGTTATTAATCTTGTGGAGTTCTCAAATGTGCTTTCTTGCTGTAATCTTACAACTAATCCTCTGATCCCTAATCTCAGAAAATGTTGTTTTCTTTTAAAAAACTGTGTACTTTGCTTGGTACACTGAAGCCAGATTGATGCTTTGCTGATTTATAAGGTATCATTTACTCTCTTGTCAAATTGCATGTGATAATGTAATACTGCACCTTTTCATGCTGTACTTTTTATTTTATTGTAATCTTTTAACAGTGAAAATAGAATTGTGTCACTCCTCGGGCTATTTAAGTATTGCAGTTGCCCAGTTTGGTTTGGGCTGGATAAAAATGCTTGTCATGTTTGTAAGGAATGGGGAACTTCTGAGTTTTAAACAAAAAAAGCTCAACAGAAATTCCCCTCTTTAAAGTTGGTCTCATCTCTAGTGCAAATCTTTTATTTAAAGATGAGCTCCCATTAGAAAGAGCAACAATCTTGACCAATTAATTTGTTGTTGCAAATGTGAGCTTGTTGAGAAATTTTGGTGGAAATCCCAGGTGTCTTCACAGAATGTTTTGAGGAATTGAGTTTTTAAGAAATTTAGTTATTACGAGTATTTCTGTTGTGAGCTGCCAGGCTGATTTCATGTGCACAGAAGTGCTGAAGCAAAGTCATGCTACTCCCAAAAATAGCCAAACTGATTTTTGTGCCTTATATTTTACTTATAGCATTCTCTCAAAAAGGAAACCCTAATTAAATTTTGAAATCCTTTACTTTGAAAATTCCCTTTGCCTCTCCTACTGTGTCTTTGAGAGACAAAAAGAATTGTGGGAACTTGTAAAACACCATTGAATTTTGAAATTTCGTATGAGAATCTCAAATAAGCAATTTTCTAATAGAAATAATTCTATTTAATTCTAATTTAATAATTCTAATTTCTTATTAGAAATAAGAAATTTCTAATAAGAAGGGAGGTATTTTTCCTGCTTTGTGACAGCAAATTCGTTGTCCCAAAGGGTCAGTAACAACTGCTCTTACACCTAACTGCTGAACACTACAGGTGTGGAACACTTTTTGCAGAGTGTATTCAGCGTGCAGCTGTTGGTGTGACCTGTGGGTAAATGCAGCTGTGTTTGAGATGTTTCCCTGCTGTCCCACTGTGAATGCAGGCAATGTCCCCTCCCCAAATGCCCCTCTGAAGAGGGTGCTGGCTTACACCGGCTGCTTCAGCCGCATGCAGACCATCAAGGAGATCCACGAGTACCTGTCGCAGCGGCTGCGCATCAAGGAGGAGGACATGCGCCTCTGGCTCTACAACAGCGAGGTAACCCCGCTCCCCTGCCTGCCCTCGGCCTTCCTTCTTTATTTGATGTGCTCTTATTCCTCTCCAGAATCTGCTAACTGCACGTGCACAGGGAAATGAGGGCGGCCATAAAGATCCTTTGTGGTTAAAGGCTCTTGGTGTTTGTTTATCAGAGGGTTTTGTGATTTAA